AGAGATATGGGGGGTTAGTTATACCAAGTTTAAAGTTCCCATCTTCAAATGTAAGTGGGTTAATAGTAATGCTGTGCAAGTGGATGAAGAATTTAGATTTGTTTTGGTTGATCTTGAGAGGTTTGGATATGGAGACGATCTATTTTGGTAAGTCAAGCAAAACAAGTGTTTTTCGTTCCCAATCTAGCAAAAAAGAAATTGTCCATCGTGCTTCAAGGTAAGAGGCAAGGAGTTGGTGGAAATGATGGTGACTTAGAGTTTAATCTTGATGAAACCCCGCCTTTCACAGCTACTCGACCTAAAACAGTTGAATTAGATTTGGTAGATGATGACTATGCTGTTAGAGATGATCATTGGGAAGGAATTTAAGAGGATAATCATTGTAAGGCTTAAATGAATTATTTGATTTTTTTTTGTTAAATATACTTAATAATGTTTTATATTAACTTGATATTTCTTATTCTTACATTTATTAATTCTTTATTCTTTAAACAGGAAATGGATGGATCTGGTCAACAGGGTTCTGGTGATGGCAGCTCTTTTACTAGCCAGAGAAATAGTAGAGGGCGAACCCGTATGAGGTATTTGGCTTTACGTGATGAGACCACACAGCCTATGAGGATTACAGTGGAGTTTGATGATGATTTGAAGCCTATCACACCTTACTATCGGATCCACTTAGGATTTAATTAAAACCATTTTAGACCACATTGAATGGTCTTGGGCTCAAAAATTCATGAAAAACGCTAATTTTTGGATTTTCACTGTTCATCAGGTAAAAATCCAATTTTCTAGCCCAACTTCAAAAATTCATAACTTAATCTAGAAAAATCGAAATGGGGTGGTTCAAGATTCCACTTAAAGCTCTTTAAGTGGTCTTTCAAAAAGAATCCTATGATCCAAATCCTTAGGAAAAAGCATCAGGTTTTTGTGAAATTCACCTCTGTCTATTTGACAAAAATCCTTTTTCCAGATTCTAAACCTTAAATTTGGAAAATCATTAAAAATCATGTACTTGGCCATTTTTAAGGTGCTATCTATCAATTTGAAGCTCAAGACATAAACTCTAAGCATACTAAATTTTGTGCAGAGATTCATTCGGTAACTTAATGAAACGTGGCTCTAAACTAACATCCTGCTTAGGGATTACAGCACCAACCATGGAATTTATACATAATCAAATGTCCATGAATTTTTATGGTGTATCACCATCCTCCAATGCATCTTGGGGAGTTTTAGGCCCTAAAATGTTAGATTATATTTGGGGGATGAGATTTTGAGAAATCCCAGTAGCAAGATCAATCAACCAAGACATTAACAAGCATTAATTACAAGCATTTCAACCTTTTATTAATAGGGAACTACTTTACCTCATACATATAGCACTCTAACATGTAATAGCCAAGGCACATAAAGAAAGGAGTATAGCTACACAATCATCGTCCTTCTCATCATTTAGTTCAACCATATAATAGCACATGAAATTGCATAGCAATCAATGCAACATTGAACATTAAGGTCAATTAAATCTTACTACCTCAATCCAATGCTCTTTGATTTTCTTGTTCTTCTTTCTTGCTTCCACAAATTCCAAACCCTAACATGGCAATCCACAAAAATGGCAGCAAGGATCATCAACCATTCCACATAAGAATCAATATCATAGCTCAAGTAACTCCTAAACCCCTTAAAGCTTCTATCTTTGTTCTTGAGTTTTTAGAGTTGGTTTCCATAAACCCTAAAAATTCCCTCTTGACCTTTTCCTACATGGTTTTTCATGTAGATTCCAAATATCTACTTGTATTTAAGAAAATAAAACTTCCTCTTTCAGTTTTAGCTTGGCCGAACCATTAGGGTTCCTTATCCAAAAATTTCAACTTTGATTCTATGGCTTCCAACACTTGTTCTTTAGGTTTACCCTACACCATTTTTCATTTTGAACACAATGGAAGCCTCAAAACTTTGAAAAACTCATCCTAGGGTCCAGATCTTGGTTTGGCTGAGCTATACCTCTTGAAATTCAACCATGAAAAACTTTTCAAAACAACACTAAACCACTTGAAACCATCTTAAATCATAGTGTTCTAACTATGTTTAACAACAAAACTTCCTTCCCTACACTATATCCATTTCGGCCAGCAACAAGAAGGGAAAGAAGTGATTTTTCCAACCATACAACTCAATAAAACAAAGCAAGCAACATCTTAAGACAACTTACTAAGCTTGGATCTTAGTTGGAAGGTCAAATAGGCTTGCTTTTTGCTTGATTTCCCTTCAAGTTCTCTCTCTTTCCCTCTCTTCATGCTTTGGACGAAATATGATATGATTTAGGGGGGAGGAGGAGCTCATTAATGTTCATAAAATCCCACCAACCATCATTAATGATTTGCCAAGTGTCATAAGCCTACTTTGTCTTAATCCTCTCTCTTAATTAACTTAAATCATAATGTAATTAAATTCCAAAGTCAAGATCCTCTCCATTGGTAGCTTGACACTTGGAAAGCTTTAATTATCATCCATTAAAGGCTTGACAAGTAGCAACTTATGGCCAAGCAAAGTGCAAGACTCCAATTAACACTTTATCGGTGCACTTTTACTCCGAGTTTAATTTCTTTTCTATAATTACAGCGTTCTGGCCTCTATAATTATTTTCTGTTAAATCTATAAATTATTCTCCTCATTTTTATCTTTCCAAATTTCCCTCTTTGTCTCAAATTTAATTTCCCAATAATTAAATAAAAAGGAAAATTATTTTCCTTCTCTTTAGTGATTTTTCCTCTTTTCAAAGGAATTGGAAAAAATCTTGGAAACTTGAGGGTCTTCTTTTAATTTCATAATCTCTCATAATTTCTTGGGATATCATAGGAATTTTCTTGGGATTTTATTCTCCTTAAAAATGTTTATTTGGAATTTTCCAAATAAAGGACCTTAAACTAGCTTAAATCGCCCTTAAATTCCTTTGTAATTTCTCTAAGGGTAATTTAGTCATAAGACCAATTTTATAATCCCATATAATTCTCAAGAAACATTGTCCTTATTTTTTCTTAATTTTCTAAGACTTGAAAATATTTTTCCATAATTATTCTTGACCAATTTTTCTTAATTAGTCAAACTTTTCATAATTGGCTTGGAAAATTAAAATAATTATTTTCGACCAAAATTCTTCTATTTCTCCTTGTCACTTTTGACCCTTAATTATTTAGGAATATTTCTTATTCCTAATTATCGTACTACTGGATCTGACATTTCTCCCCCTCTAAAATAAATTTCGTCCTCGAAATTTAAAGCGGATCTTATTGGAAAAGTTCAGGATACTTTTCCTTCATCTTAGTCTTCATCACCCTCGTAGCTTTTTCTAGCATAAGACCTTTCCAGACAACCTCGACCAGCGGAATCTGCCTGTTTCTCAGCTGTTTGACTTTTTCATCAATGATTCGCTTTAGTCTGATCTCAAAGACGGGTTGTCTTGGAGCACAATGTCATCATAGCTTGTGACATACGTTGGGTCTAGATGGTACTTCTTTCATTAAGAGACATGGTAGACATCATGAATTTGACTTACATTCAGGGGAAGGGTCACTTTTAATCTACTGTTCCACTCTTGGACAAAATTTAAAACGGTCTAACATACTTTAAACTTAACTTCTTAAGCTTTAGGGATTGACTGACTTCTGTCGTTGGTTACACTTTAATCACCAACTTCAATCTTTAACGGTTTCCTTTAATGTCTGATAGCTCTTTTGTCTACTTTGAGCCATTAGAAATTTTTGCTAAATAACTTTAATCTACTGGGATGTCTGATCCATTATATTAGGGTCTTCTTTTAATTTCATAATCTCTCATAATTCCTTGGGATATCATAGGAATTTTCTTGGGATTTTATTCTCCTTAAAAATATTTATTTGGAATTTTCTAAATAAAGGACCTTAAACTAGTTTAAATCACCCTTAAATTCCTTTGTAATTTCTCTAAGGGTAATTTGGTCATAAGACCAATTTTATAATCCCATATAATTCTCAAGAATGTTATCCTTATTTTTTCTTAATTTTCTGAGACTTGAAAATATTTTTCCATAATTATTCTTGACCAATTTTTCTTAATTAGTCAAACTTTTCATAATTGGCTTGGAAAATTAAAATAATTATTTTTCACCAAAATTCTTCTATTTCTCCTTGTCACTTTTGACCCTTAATTATTTAGGAATATTTCTTATTCCTAATTATCGTACTACTGGATGTGACAAAGCCTATAGGAAAGATTGGGGCTCAATTTACTAGTTATGTGGGTTATCTCGCACGCAGTAAGATTGGGATTGACATTCCCAGCTGGAAGAAGGTGGACAAAGATTTGAAGCAAAACATTTGGGAGGATATCTTGGTACATTATGGATTGTTTTCTCTACTTGTTTCAATTATAATTGCTTATTTACTTTATAACTCTATGCTATTGTATTGCAACTGACATTTCATATTCCCGCCACTGAGTAAATGAAGACCGTCTGTTTAAGCAACTTGATGAATGGCAGAGGAATTTTAAATCCATTCTTACAAAACATTATATTCGTGGAAAAAGAAAGAAGAAGGAGAAATATGTGTCCCTATTTTCTACCTATTGCTCCCCCACAAAATTCAAGGAAGTAGTAAACTTTATAAATGGCAAAGAAAATTTAAAGCCCAAGGTAGAAGAAATGGGTTTAGCCATCTTCTTGGTATTACTTTGAATAAGCTGTGCAAAGATTTATGTCTGGAGTTGATTCATGCATGTGACCCCCCAAGTAAACAAATCACCATAAGGGGAAGACAAAGAAGGTAACTGGTACAGATGTTAGGAGGGTGCTTGGATTACCAGATAAGGGCTCCAAAGTGAAGTTAGATGGCTTCATGGATGAAGTAAATGAGCTGAAGAAGGACTATACTCCACTGACATATTCTCAAGTTGCAGAGAAGATAATGAGTGATGAATAAGATGGAAACTTTGAATTCTATTTTGCTCTTTTCACAATGGGAACTCTTCTTTGTCCCACGAGAAGTGCAAGTGTGAGTGAGAAGGTGCTAAAGATAATGGCTTGCATAGAAAATAAGTGGCAAAATTTTGACTGGGCTTCGTTTGTGCTTGACGAACTCAGTGAAGAAATTAAACGGTACAATAAGAGTAGTAAGGAAGGACAGACCAAGGGTGCCAAAGTTGTCGAAGGGTGCACCTACTTTTTATTAGTACTTGCATATTTCCTTACAAAATAAATGATGTTGGATATGGTTTGATCATTAAACTGTTGATGTATTGTGTAATTTGATTTTTGAGTCATGTTTTTTCTTTCTCTGTAGCTATACTTCCTGCAAAGATTCCCTTTGTAGGGAGGTGAACCGAAAGACAAAGACGCCGCATTGGGATGATAAGGCCGTGAAGAGTAGAATTGATGCAGAAAAGGAGAGTTGACATGGCATTTTCTACAATCCACCCTCTACTAAAGTGAATGAGTCAACACAACTGGGAAACAATAGAAGTTTCCACCATCCGGTGAGTAATACCAATGTGGTAATGTCTGTTGGTCAGACTTAATATCTGTTTAATGACATACATTTATAATGTGTAGGACATTAAGGAGTTTTGGGTCAATTTCAACAACACATTGAAGAATGAAATGGCCAAGATTCAAAACTTTGTTTGTGATGAATTGGTTAAGTTGGAAAACAAAATTCTTAACTGGGGAAGCAATGAAGAAGTCAATTATGAGCAGTCGGATGAAAATAAGAAAGATGAGCATGAAGAAGGAAAAGAACACTACACTGAGGAGGATGAAGATGAGCAATCACAACATGATGAAGTTATGATTGTAGAAGGGGAAGAAAAACATCAAAGTGGTGAGAAATCACATGATGATGAACAACAAGAAGAAGAAGAGGAAGATGAAGACAAGAATGACAATGTGAGAGAAAATGAAGCTACAAAAAAGGATACTAAAGGTGAATAGGCAGCTGAAACTGAAGAATGGAATGAAAAAAGGAAAATGGTGGGCAAAGCGGTACAGCTACCCACAAGGAGGTCAAGTAGACGTAAACTCCCAGCAGTAAAATCTCCTTACATGTCTAATTATGGCAGAAAGGTGAAAATGAGTAACAGGGATGCATTTTATACTATGTGTACTGAGTGGTGTCAACCAGATGAGGCTCAAGAGTAAGTATAGTCAGTTATTATGGAAAAGACAGCCTGTGAATAATACTAGTATGCAATACTGACTACTTATTTCCACTTTCATATTTGTTGTGGGGTCATGGTAGATATGTTTGGACATTTGAAAATACAAGCAAACCTACAAGCACTGGGTCCCAAAAGGTGGATAAGCAATAGGGTACGTGCACCTATTTAATTTACATCAAAGTGGCCATATATGGAATGTGCCACATTTTTAATTTTCCTGCTCCTTTAATCTACAGATCATGACTCTAATTGCCTACACCTTCACTGCTGACTAACAGGAGAATGTCTCTGTGGTTAAAAGACATATTTGATGCAGATTTCACGGTTAGTGCTATCCCCTGTTAATGGGTCAATGCTTTAAATTGTTCAGTCAAGTTATCGGTACAGTTTCTTCACTGACAATTTGCATTGCTGTGCAATTTTCTGTTGTGATAGGCAAGGATGGTACAGGAACACACAGCATGCCAAGTGGACAAACATCTGAAAGAACTACTCCCCCAACACCTGGGATACAATTTGGCTGAATGTGAATACATATTTGCACTTGTTTTGTTTGCACTGCATTGGTTTTGCTTTGTGTTTGAACTGAGCACATAAAGTTTTATGTGCTGGACTCTCTACATGGTGGCGAGGATACAATGAAGCACCAAAAGAAGAAGAAAAAGTCTAATCCAGAATTAAAGGGGCAGCAAATGATGGCGCAAACTTGTATAAGTACTGTAATTATTGTTCTACTTTTTTGGACAACCATAGTATCCCCTATGTGATAATCATTTGTAATTGTGTAGAGGGTGAAGGGAATTGAAAGACGACGCGCAGCGGAAAACAACACAAAATTTTAAAACTTTCAATCCCTTGCCCGGATCTACCGATCGCATTTAAGTCAGGTAGTAAGAAGTATTACCTTCGGTGTTCGGTTTCCGAGTGGCTTGGTGATTCCGCCGTTCAGGATGCCTCTGCTCGCCTCCTTTATCGTTCAAAGTCAACAACTCCAGTCGGCTTCCTCTACCGGTATCCACACGAGTAGCCCTCAACCTTGAACGACGTGCTAGCGTCTATGTCCGTCTAGGGTTTTCAGAGAATCCGTCCACTCTTATCTCTCTTAGGCCGTCTCTTATCTGTTGGTACTCTCACACCTAAAACCCTAGCTCCTCATATCAAATATATAGGATGCTATAGGTTTAATGAATAATATTTAATTTTGAAATTAACTCTAAATTAATTCCGAAATTAATACAATATCAAATATTGCCTAATCAGATAAGAGAACAATTAAATAAATATGGTTTAAATTAAATCCGTCTCACAGATTTAATTCACTTATTTATTTAATAAAGAGATGATGGAATTAATTTATATATTTAATTTATCCTTATAAATTAAATCTAACAATTAATATCTCTTATATTTATATAATAATATATATATACGAATATATATATATACACGTCCACCCCATTTATTCATTGAATCTGGACATATCCTAGATTCAATGAATCTGGACATCATAACTCGTATTGGGCTATTTTGTGTGCGACCCTGTAGGCTCATATGAAGTTGGCAGTGGGCCATTAACTATAATGACTCACAAGTCGTAAGCGGTCTCTAGCAAGACATCACGACTACCCAAATCATATGAGGATCGTTGAACGATGTAACCTTTCATACAACCATATCGCGTCCTTTTTGTCACACGACATTTTGGTCATGGACGAGGCATGGAGAACGTCATCCTCCTATTCATGACTGTTACTTTCTCGATCCCTGAGTAGTCTGGGTATAGAAACGGAACTACCTTTCCATTATAGTATGGCCATACATTTCTCAGACTCACTCATCGAGGGGCCCAGTAATGTCTCTCTACAAATGTGAGGGACAAATTCCATCTTGACCATTCACATTCCTCCGCATGAAAAACCACTAAGCCTAAACATAGTCTTTATGATCGCTCGGTCAAAAGTGACTTTTGACTAGGTCAAAGCTAAGCGTCTCTCATGTAGGAATCCATGATGATCTCAGGTCAAAGGGCACAATGACATGGTTTGTATATGAGATAAGCTTATGACTTAACCCATGCAGCTCTCTCATAGCGGGTCGGTCCAACACCTTGTACTCTTACATGTGCCTATGACTTTAATTTATATCCCTATATATCTTTAAAGTCATACTGGTCTTATTTCATCTTTGCTCCCACATAGATGACCGACCAGGGACATTTAGGATAAACCATGAGTTATCCAAGGATAGTCATCACAGTAAACATGCAAATAATATGATAACGTAATTAATAAATTCATAAATGAACAATGTTCAAAACATAATGATTGGCCCCTAGGGCACAATTTCCAACAGAGGGTACACTTCATTGAAATACTAAGGAGAGTCAAGCCTGAGTTGGAGACTTTGGCCAACCAAGATTCAAACAATGTCATCTTGTATCCCACGGTTCATGTTCAAGAGAATACGTGAGTCTTTTGTTCACTGTAAGTTATTTGTCATAAATTATCATCGACATAGATAAGCCAACATTATGATGTGTTCATTTTTTAGTCATGAATGTGGGGTTCATGTCATCACATATCTAAGATAGTGGCCTGACCCACAAGAGAAGGATGGAGTTCAATTCACCATGCCTTATTATACAGCAGTAGGTGTTGAATTATATGTTAATGACTTCATGCATCTGTGTGAACTTACTGAGAAAAGTTATTATTGTCCCATAGGATTAATACACATCTATACGGTGAGCTGTTGTGGTGGCTTGTGACTCATAAAAGAAACATCAAGTCAGATACTGTTGCCAAACACCTTAACCAAATTAACACACAACGTAAGAGAAAGCGCTGATAGAGCAAATTCCTACCTTGTAGCTTTCACTGATAAGCACTGTAATTGTTGTTATGAACACTTTATGTGGACTTAAATGTTGTGCATACAAAAGATGTTAATAAAGTCTGTTTTGATGGATTCATATTATCAGTACCTGTTTACTTTGATTAGATGTACAGTTGACAACAGAAATAAAGGAATTTGCAAGAATGATACAGAAATTAACACCAAATGTTCATCCATTTCCAACTGAACAACCTACATTAAGGATTAGCTCTTTGCACGAACGATTAGACAATTTGCAAGAGAGACAAATAATTTAACAACAATAATTAGACCATTCACAAGTGTCGGTCATCAGCTGAATAACGTGTCCTCTTACATATGCAAGTGCCCTCCTTCACCTAAACAAGATGTCCATTTCCATGTGGAACTAGGGAATTTACAACCCCTATACATATATTCAAAACTGGAATCAGTCCATATACATGTGTCGTCCTTGACCTGAACAGGGTGCCCATTTGCAAGGGGGACTAGCAAATTTGCAAGACACATACTTGGCTTCACATGTGAAAGTAGTCTATTCATATATGGACTGGTTTACCTGAAGCATGTATCCGTAAGGGAACAAGTGGGGGAGAGCCCATTTGCAAGGGGGACTAGCCAATTTGCAAGACACATATTTGGCTTCACATGTCGAAGTAGTCTATTCACATGTGGACTGGTTCACCTAAAGTATGTGTCCGTGAGGGAATAAGTGGGAGAGAGCCCATTTGTAAAGGGGACTAGCCAATTTGCAAAACACATACTTGGCTTCACATATGGAAGCAATCCATTCACATGTGGACTGGTTCACTTGAAGCATGTGTCCGTGAGGGAACAAATGGGAGAGAGCTCATTTGCAAGGGGAACTAGCCAATTTGCAAAATATATACCTATATTCACATGTGGAATCAGTCTATTCACATGTGGACTAGTTCACCTAAAGCATGTGTCCGTGAGGAAACATGTGTGGGAGACCTCATTTGCAAAGGGGACTAGCTAATTTGCAAGACACATACCTAGCTTCACATGTGGACTGATTCACTTGATGCATATGTCCGACTTAAGTGTGGGAGAGCCTATTTGCAAGTGGGACTAGACAATTTGCACCATACATGCACATTTTCACAACTATAAATAGTCTGTTTGCATGTGACCTACTCGTACTTAAGGAGGTGTCCGTGAGTGAACAGGTGTGCGAGGGCCCATTTGCAAATGAGATTAGACAATTCGCAATATACATACATATAGTTACAACAAAAAATAGTCCATTTGCATGTGGACTGATTCACCTAGAGAATGTGTCCATGTGGTTCCATGCATATACCATTTGCAAGTGATATTAGACAATTAGCAACATATATACATATATTCATAACTGGAATCAGTATATTTCCATGTGACGACCTTCACCTGAAGAAGTTATCCGTGAGTGGATAGGTGGGGGAGAGCCTGTTTACAAGTGACATTACACAATTTGCAACATACATACATATATTTACAACTAAAAACAGTCTATTTGCATGTGGACAAATTACAGCCTAACATAACCTGGGATAGCTATAGTCACCTACTGTCATGAAATATTTCAACTATTAACAGTACTATACAAAATATAATCCAACCTACCACCAATAAATCAAAATGGGTTGTCATAGCTACTTCCCCAACAACTCAAGAACTACATAGTGGGGCTCATTTATGTACAAAGTAGCTGTGTATTAAACCAAAAAAATAAAAGACTATTTTCAGCAACAAAGTCACCAAGATTTCAGGTTACTGCAAGTCTTTTTAGTGTGACCAACTTCACCATATCTTGAGCAATGATACAGTTTCTTCTACTGGAATTATGATTCAATCCTCCTAACTCTAGGTCTTCCAGCACGACGAGTTGTCAATGGT